TTTGGCATAATGGAGAGATATGATACCTTTTTAGTTTTTTGGAAGAAAGGTACAGATTCCTGCAACAATGTTGTACATTTTATTTATTTTATTTTGCCAAACACCCATAGAAATATTCTTGCTAAATTGTCACTCTATTTTCCTGCATGTATTTTTCGCAGCTGTCGGTCTTCATGGCCGCGAGTGTCATGCCCCTCTGTGTCCTTGTCTGGCATTGTGGCCACATTCCGCACGAAGTTCAAGTGCCAGCAGCATCACCTGTGCCACCTCCATCTGTTGTTTCCCCCTAGACGATAGAAGGGGACTAGCAGCAGCCATGGGCTTGCTCCTCTCCTCCATCGTCCAACTGCCTGCCTGCCTTAGAGGCCACCCATAGCGTTTGGCTTTTTGCAACACAAACAAAACGTCAGTCAGGCAGCGCCACAACACAATTTGTGCTGCATTGCAACATTTCATTTATTTCCATTGGCAAAAATAGTCCGCGGTGCCCCCGTGTTCGTGTTCGTGTTAGTGTCCGTGGTCCGTGGTCCGACGACGGTGTTTACTTTGGCAGCACTTGAAAACAAAAATCCGAAAACCGAAATTCAAATTCAAATTCAAATTCAGAGACCAAGAGAGACCCCGACGACCACCCGCATTTGCCAGCAAAGAAATAATATTTCCAAATTAATAACAATTAAAAGTTTCTCCTCTACGGTACGGCACGGCACGGCACGGCACAGGGCGGCACCTTGGCCAATAAAATGGAAATTTATGGGTCACACATGAGCGGAGGCAGTGAGTGGCTCAAGGAGAATGCTTTCCTTTTCGGGGTTTATTAATTGGCCTGAGGCTTGAGTAAAACTAGTGGTCGTCTTAGGGGAAATTTGTCTTGCTTTCAGCTTCGGGAAAAGGGTTCTTCTCACCTACGACTTGCCCCCACTCCAACCCTAGAGAAAGGGATTCAATTTGAGGCTGCCACATGTGTGTGTGGGCTGTGCTCAGAGTTGATGGACCAGATAAATGTGCCGCTCGCTTTGGGAGAGATTGTAACCAATTTCTGGTGGTGCTGCTGCCTCTTCTGTGGCTGTAGGTAAAGTGATAAGGCATCCTGTGCCATGGCAGGATGTGTGGCACACATCGGACACAGCGACAGGGACACACATGCTGGGGTAACCACATAATAATTCTTGGGAACAATGTAAGCGTCAATTGTGCTGCTTGCATGGCCAATGGATGGGATGTGGGCTTGTTCTTTGGCCCATTCTCTGTAGTACGAGTAGAAGACATTGCCCACATTTGTGGCAGTCTAAGACTTCGACTCAGACATCAGGGAACACGAGGGCACGGCAGGGCAGGGCAGGGCAGCACAAAGACGACAACGACAACGTCGGCACATGCCACACGTCAAGTCGAGAAATTTAAATTAAAAACCTTTTTTGCATGAAATGTTTTCCGTTTGCCTGCAAGCGGATGATGCATATGTTTTCCCACTAATGTCTGGGGTGGGGAGGTTGTTTCTGCCTGCTGATATCTTCAGAATGAGAGGAGAGGAGGATTGGAGGTAGCAGCTCAAGAGATAACATTGTAAAAGATAGTGCAAGCGAGTGGTTGGCAGTGAGAGAGTCTCTTAAAGTTATGAGAGGCAAGTGCTAAAGCTGTTAATTGCAAAGAAGGAATGATAATAGAGCTCTAGATTATGGTGAGTAGCTGGGGACTTTTTAAAGAGCAGAAATACCATTAGGAATAGTGGAAAATATTGTAAATTATATGACAAATGTAGAGCGTTGAGTGTGTAAATGAAATACCTTTTTTCCAGTAGAAGTTCGCGTGTTTTCCATTGCGATTATATTCCTTCCTTTAGCACGGCATCTATAATAAGAAGAATAAATAACTATAATGCTTGGAGTAATTGTTTCCCAAGAAAAATTCGTTGTGGAGAAACACCTTTCGGCACATTTCGATCAGGTTTGATGGAAGGAGACAAATAGTTTCCATTTGTATCAAACCAGTTCTAATGGATGAAAGAGACAGCGAATTCTTTGAACAAAAAGCAGATAATGAGCTCACTCCGGGCCTCTCTTTTTGCTCGATTGTGTGGTTATTGCATCTGTGTGAGACTTTTATCAGCTTCACCGAACCGCGTCGAGCAATCACGCGTAAATTCTAAAGACGCAGCTCTCCGCAGAGTTCTCTCTCTCTCGTTGCTGCCTATAAAAGTAAATCAGTTCTCAGCTCAGCTCTCCCCTCCCCTTGGATCTCGTACCCCTCTACAATTTTTCTCTATGCTTCTTGGGTTTTTTTTCTCTCACATATGGCACCACGATTCGAGTGCGGAGTGGAGTGAAGCAATTAATTAGTGTGCTTAATTCGGATAATTATTCCAGGCAATAAAATTTTCAATACGTTGCGATGATGACGATTGTACGGGTGCCACGCCCCACTCCAGCAGTCTTGCCACACTGCCACACCTACCCGAACAGAGTTGGGAGACAGAAGGACACGTTTAATTCAATTCGCGAAGGTTCCTTGACTTGTTTCGTTCTTGGTTCTTTCTTATTTATAAAATAAAGAGAAACCCGAGGATAGAACTGGAAGTAAAAAATTGTACTGTGAGGAGGAGGTGCAGGAGAAGGGGGAGGACATTTAAATTCAAATTGTTCGAAGATGCTCTGACAAAGAAGCAGCAGCGGCGCCACACGTCGGATTAATTTTATGTGCCCCAAGGAAGAAGGAGCAGCGGCAGCATCGGCATCATCCACATCGCAGGACATTTCTCCCTTTGGTTCAATTAGAGAACAACTTTGGGCGGTGTGGGGGGGAAGTCCTTTGGCATTTGCCATTGGCTGGCGTGCTATGCAATTGTTAAAATCGAATTAAGCCACGGTGTCGCATACTTTTGATCTCCCTGACGACGACGACGACGATGCCGGCGACATCGACACCGAGGACGTGGACCAGGAGTTGGTGTGGCGTGGCGTGGGCGTCCCTCGTTCAGCCAATGAAATGTTGCAGTTCTCGGGCGAATGTCCTTACATTGTCCTTGCCATTGAATGGCCCTTTGTCGCCATCCATCCATGAGGTACGAGTGGTGCGAGCGTTGCCCTTCCCCCCCTGAAGATTTCGGTTTCAATTTCGGGTTTGCTTGGCGCAAATGAAATTAAACGAAGATTAGTCGTGTGCTGTAGATTCCGCGTAGATTATTCCAAGAAATAAAAATCTACCAGAGACCAGAGAGAGAGAGAGAGAGAGAGAGAGAGAGAGTATGGGAGATGCAGATACAGATACTATTGCCAGAGTGAAAGATACAGATACACTTACACTCCAGGGTAGAGTGGCGTTCATTATTTTTTCGTTTTGCCGGCTTTTGCTTTTGCTTTTGTTTTATTTTCATTTTCATTTTCATTTGTATTTTTATTTGTATTTTCCTTCTTCTTGTTTGCTTTTTATGGCCCCCTGAAGGTGATTTGCCCTTCCCCCCACTACCGTGGCAGGGGGGAAGGAGGCTGAAGATTAGTCGTGGAGTAGAGGTTGGCGTGGAGTGGAGCACAAATCTGAGCAAATCACAAGCTCCATTTAACCCACAAATGATGGCCAGCTTTGGCATCTGATGGAATTTATGAAAGAGTTTTCTTGTACGAGCACTCAGGATTGGGCATAATGAATGGAAGGATCTACTTAAGCAGTCTGGAGGCTCTTGAATTGCCTCTGACGGGGGTATTTAGATATGTAACTGGTGATTTTCATCAGATTCACGATGATTTTCACCTTTTTCCTGGGCAACCTGGCCCGACTGAGACATCTGTAGGTGTCATAAGTCGTTCCTAATCACTGTCATTTATTTCAATCAAGTAATTCAATTTTTTACGATCGAACTGAGATCATTAGAGCCACGTGGAGCTTTGTTGTTGCTGCTCTATACTGGCGACTGGCTTAAGTGGACTCTGAACTAAACTAGTAGGAGAATATTCCGCACAAAGATGCACAGAACCCTTGCATACCCTTCATAGAGAACTATTTTGTATGGGAAAAGTGTTTAAAAGTCATAGGAAATTTGATTTCTATACGAACGCTATCATTCATGGTTCTTATGATATATTTATCTTTTGTGGATCTTTCGCTGAAGTACCTCAGCATCTTAATGGATAATTGTGAAATTTCCAATAGTGTATTTATTGCCTCGCTTTCGCCATCTTAAAGCTGATAATGTCCACTTTTAGAAGAGTAAAATGAGCTGTCTTTCATCATTGGCGCAAGCTCCAGTGATAACCTTTGATCCGCAACCTCCATCCTGGGATACTTTCAGGGTTCACTCGTTTCTCAATTGCCACTCTGGGTCTGTTCGCTTTCCCCGCACTTTTTACAGCTTTCCTCTGTTTCTGCGCTGCTCGTGTGTTCAATTAAAAAATGGTTGGCATTAATTGCTAACCAATTTGCAGTCCGGACACTTCCTGGCTCTGGCCTGTGTGGCGGCTGTGGCGGGACGAGTGTCTCAAGTGTCCCGAACTGGATTTTCCTGCTGTTCCCCATCCTCCATCCTGCGCTCCTTCTGACACTTTGACGAGCAGCAGATGAAGCGGAGGCCGTTGATGGTGACATTTTTTGCATATTAATTGAAGACAGGGCCGGTCCCTGACTCATCCTTCAGTCGAATAACCATACCCCCCCTCCCCATCCGTTCCCCATTCCCCGTGGCCCAATCCATAAGGTCCCGTCCCTTGGCTTCATTTGCGGTAAGTTCATTAAGTAATAAAACATAAATTTTTTGTTGTTGATTTTTTTCTCGTTTTTCTTTTATTTTTTTCACGCTTCTGGGATTGCCCCCGTCCCGTCTGGCGTTCGGTCATCAAGTTCCTGATACTTTTTTCCCCGTTTGCCTTGCTTTTAATGCTTTGCATATTTCTTTAATGAATTAATTCTGTTTTGGTTTTCGGTTTGGCTCTCTGTTGATTCACCGTTCACTGGACTTTGATAAAAAGCCAGCAAGGCAGCAGAAAGGCGATAAAAAAGCAACGCCGACAGACCTCTGAGAAATTATATTTTGTATAATTTATGCGAAAAACATTACGGGTAGAAATCAGAGTGGCAGAGAGAGGAAGCCCGTTCGGGCTAAGGGAGTGTTAATTATGCGCTAGCTGGACAAAAGTTTTCTATCAATTTTGTGAAATATAAATTTGTGAGCGTAAAAACATGTTTTGCATATGAAAATGTTGTGGGGAAACTAGTCGAGAAATGTGGCGCTTTTGCTTCAGCGCGGCTAATTGCGTTCTCTGGGGAGCACTCCAAAACTTGCATCCAATTGCAGAGGACAGGAGCTGATGATCTGATGACTGGTTCTGGGATTCTGGGATTCTGGGCTTCTAGTGTCAGGTTGTCACTTTCTCTCTCTCTCTCTCTCTCTCTCTCTCTCTCCGTTCTGTTGCAGTTGTTTGTTGTCTGCTGATTGGTGACATGCCATGTCCCCTGCCCAAGCCACACAAATGAGCCGTGCAATTGTCGCAGGCAGCCTTCGTATTGACAGCTCCCATTGATGCAGCTCCAGAGGAGCCACTGAAGACCCTGCGGGATTCGTCTCGTGTTTCCGAGGCGTGCACACGGCGGGGCTGACTGACAACTGTCGTCGGTTTCTATCTTCTATTCTGACACTGAAAAGTGTGACGATTTATTTGGCATATGTGGCATGTGGCATGTGGCATTGGGGAGAGAACAAAGTGGAGCAGATGCCACAGCTCTTGCTGCCTTCCACTGGACATCATTAGTCTTGGATCGTCTTTGACTCTGCGGAAATCTTAATAGATTTATGCTCATCGCTTCAACAGATTCTTTTACTCACTCTGATCATTTGTCACGGTGCTCGTACAAGCGGAACCATCATCCATTCTGTGGCTCGGAAAAGTCAACAATTGTGTGTCTGAATACTCGATGGATGTTTAATAGATTTTTGCCTTTTAAGTTATGGCAAATAAATCATGAAACAAGTTCTTTTCAATTCCCCTGATGTTCTTGGCATCCATCGGGTGCAGAGACGCGTTTCCATGTGTTACCTTGGCGCTTGGAGATAGCCGTGCCCCAGCCGCAGCGCAGATAGACTTCGAAATCGATGTCCACCAGAGTGAGTATATTGTCTATCAGATCACACTCTTCTTATCTCTGACCGATAGGTTCAGTTCAAAGGGTCAGTGGAGGCCAGCGATAAGCTCTAATCAAATCGGGTTCCATGTGTAATCGCAGGCACTTCGAGTGTCATCTGTGCATTCTGTGTACAACTCTCGATCCGCTATGTTGCGTCTGAGCTCGCTGCTGCTGCTGCTGCTGCTGCTGGCACTCGTGGCCACCGTGTCCGTCCACGGGGAGTCGATCAACTTTCTCAACTGTGAGGACAGCGTCGATGTCTGCACCGTGGATGCGGTGCGAGTGACGCCCTGCCCCCAGGCGGCCAGTAATGCCGCCTGCCACATCCGCCGTCGGCGTCCGGCAAAGATGAGCTTTGACATTACGCCAAAATTCGATGCCGACCACCTGGTGGCGACTCTCGGCTGGGTGAAGAGCGAGGATGTGGAGCTGCCGCTGCTCAGCCTGGAGCGGGATGCCTGCAAGGCCACCGGCTGCCCCGTGAGGAGTGGCGTGCAGCAGACCTACACCACGGAGGTGCCCATCGAGGCAAAGTTCCCGATCAGTCCCTACACGATCCGCTGGGCCCTCAAGGATCCCGTGAGCGGCAAGCGGTGCTGCTTCACCATCGACATCAAGGTGGTGCGATAGGAGGGGGGAGAATGGAATGGGACTGCTGAATAAAATCTTCTATCTTCTGTTAACAATTTTGTGCGTTTTTTAATTATCCGTGGAATCGTTAAGGTTACGGCTCTCTGGGGAATCCCTCGGATACCGGAATCGGAACGGATATATATTTGCTGGCGACTAATTTGGACCTCGCGAGCTGCTCTGCCCGCGAGCAGTCCCAAAAAAAAATGTAGAAAACTTTGATTGAACTTTTGGGTGCCATTAAAAGGCCTCCACCTCCCCTCCGCTGTGGGTCTTATCAGCGTCGTCAAACAATTAAAAATTGAGCACTTAAGTTGTGGTCATAAAATCATTTGTTTTTCTTTTTTCCCTTCACATTTTTCTTCATTTTTTATTGTTTTTCTGTTCACATTTTTCAGTGGTGGAAAATTCAAATAGCAAATCACTTTTGCTGACCTGTAAACTGGGGGAATGGGAGGGTATATTGTGTTTTAGAAGAGGATTTCATGGATATGGTTTTTGATTTCATTTCATGGATTGTTTCTCAAATGTTGTTGTTTCTGTTTTCTCTGAGGAATCCAGCATTTTGGCCCACATTTAAAGGTGTTCATCTCCCAGTATTTCAAATAAATATCTTTAAAATATTCCTTAATGCACTTTGCATCCAACGATTCTTGGAAATGTTCTTCAAACATTTTCCAAGGGTATTCTTTTGTGCCATTACTTTCTGCAACTCGATCCAATCGTTTCACTCTCATTTTTGTTTGTTTACCTAAACGAAAACCCGAGTAGTCTTCACTTTCTGAGCGCATGGGGAAACCATTCAGGGGCGGGGGTCACCAGATAGGCCTGACCCCAATGAAAAAGTAAGAAAAAGAAAAGTGAAGCGACAGCAGCCGCCACTTGAGCAAATAATAATAACGAGAATAATCAGAGGGAAAAGTCCTTTAATAAAACACATTGTGACTCAATTTTGCAGCAGATTCAGATTCAGATTCAGTTTTTGTCGCTTATTCAGACGGTGACATTGGCCTCGCCGTACTTGAAGCCCAGGACGTAGGGCATTTTTGTGAGCTGCGAGAGGATGTGGCACTTGACCTCCTCGAAGCAGGGCGTGGCATCCACGTAGAGCACCTCCCGTCGTTGGCTGAGGTAAGCGTTGAGGAGCGGCTCACTCTTGCGGAACTGCTGCATCTGGCGGTCGAGGTAGGTGACATTCGCCTGTGGCCCCGAGGCGTAGCTCTTCACGAGAATGCGCATGCGGGCCATACGCTCCTCGATGCGCAGGAAGATCAGGTGGTTGGGTGGCGCTGTGAAGCCCTCAAAGAGCTCCCGGGCCTCGCAGCTGTTGTTCGGGTAGTTGATGAGGATCCAGCCGCGGTGCAGGGCATCGTCCCTGAGCAGCCGCTTCTGGATGAGCTTCCCGATGGCCTCGGAGCGCCCGAAGACGCAATCCTTCTCAATAACTGCCTGTAGCTGGCGGGTGTTCTCGTCCTGAGGCTGTCCGTTGATGCTGTGGTAGGCAAGGACATCTGCATCGATGATCAGCAGGTTCCAGCGCTTGGCCAGCGCATGAGCCAGCGATCGCCGGCCCGATCCCGGTCTGCCATGAAGCACAAGACGATGCTGGAATGCACATGGCAGCTGGTAGAAGTCTCCCCGCACTCCATGATGCACAGCATCCAGGTTCTTGGTGTAGATGTCCACCCCAATGCGCCGTATATTCTGACCCATCCAGCGGCGCAGATCCTCGACAGGCTGCTCCGAGACCTCCGCCAGCAGACGGCTCATCACCTCCAGCAGCTTGTGCTTCTCCATGTAGTACATAAAGGCGGCTCCATACTCCACGAGCTGCGATTTGTCGAACGTTTGGGGCAGGGACATGCCAACAAACAAATGTAGTTGTTACTTTGGTGGGAAATTATATGAAGTTAAAGCAAAGGAACACGGAATTTTGAGACTATTTTCAAGGGTTTGTTGTGAGCAAATTTCTTGACTGCATCCTCTCCCGAGTAGATATCTTTCTTGTCTCCCATATCCCCTGTATATCTTGGTTTTTCGAAGGGTTAATTCTTCAGCCCTTCCATCGCCACTCGGAGACTCCTCACACGAGCAATAACCGAATGTCCATTACCATTAAGAGTGCTGTTTCTGTTGCTTCCATTATTATTACCATATTAATTGCTTCCGTTACAATATTAGAAAATGGCGCGTACTTCCGGACACTCGGAGGGATTTCGAGGCCAAGACGCTACCCATTTAATGGCCAACTAATGTCTTCCCACAGCCAGTTTCAGAGCCCCATTCGGAGCCAAGTGAAAGGCAAATTGGCTGCCATATGAGCGCCGTTTCTTGGGTGACAATATTTTGCAGCGAATTATGACAGCTCTTTTGTCTTGGAACAATTTAAAAGCGTTATAGATGCGCTGCTAACGGACTGCCAAGTGTTGCCTAAATGTCTGTCATACTTTATGTTGTCTTATGAGCCAGCAGCACATCCTGGGCATGTCCTGGCGACTGCCTGCTGGCTGCTGGCTAAGCGGGAATGCAGGCGGATCGCCTTATGAGTAGATGCCATGAATGCCGCCTGCTATCCGGACTGGACCACTCCACTGTGGGTGGAGTTCTGGCTTCTCTGAGGGGCTAATAAAAACCAACACAAGATGAAAAATAGTTTCCTGTTGCTGCCTTGGCTAGGGCTGTAGTCCTTGGCAGTACACTCTCCATATTGTTATGTCAAATATGCTGTTAATATCTTGCACACACTAATATCATGGCAACTCTTTCTCCCCCTCCTTGGCAATGCATTTGCTTTGGGGTTTATCGACGGGCTGCTCCATCTTGAAGGGAATGCTATAAAAAAAGGGAGGAGGATCTTAAGATGGGAATAAAGGAACAAAAGAGGAGTACAACCCTAGAAAGCGGGTTTAATGGGGAGAAAGGGTTGGGAAAGCTCCTCAAATGGGTCTCATTATGGATCAGCAAGGGAGTCCTTACCATATCTATATTTATTTATAAATAAATTTCTTACAACAGTGAAACTATCATTACATCAAATTATTCATCGAAAAGGCAGTTTTATGGAGAACATTTCTGTTGTTTCTGAAGATAATCCCTGTAAATGTTAGACACATATTTTGTATAGATATTTCTACGAGTCAGAGTCATGAAATTACTATTCTCCGATCGTAACTACGATCTTTAAGGGCATCCAAAGTTTTGGTAACCCTTTCCCTTCTTGTTTTTAATTATATTAAAAAATCGTAAGCAAAAAACAACCAAAATATGAATAAACGAATATGAATCTGTGTGAATGTGAATGCAAATGTGAGTAAGCTTTGAGGCTGTAGCTGTGGCTGCCACAAAGCGCAACATTTTTAATTAAAGTCAAAGCGAAAAGCGAAATGCGACAACGGGAACGACGACATCGAGAACGAGAAACAGAAACAGAAACAAGAAAATGATAACAGCTCCGTCCGTCCGTCTGTCCGTTTGTCCGTCCGTCAACCTCTCTCTCATCTCTGCGCCGCTGCGATGTTCTTCGGAGAACTGTGCTAAATTACATTTCATCATTATGGCCAGCGTCCGTCCACACACACGCAAAGCAAACACCCATAAACACACTCATATTCACATATTCGTATTCGTATTCATGTGTGTATCCTTTTTTAATCGCCAAAATTGTGGCACAAGCCGCCGCCATCTGACGCAGCGTCCAAGTCGAGTCACTGAAAGCAACGAGTCACACACAGAAAAAGCGACAGGAAAGGAATGGCAGTTGCAACGAATATGAAGATGCTCTATAATAAGTGCCAATTGGGAACATATAGATACTGGAAGACGTAGGAAAAATGCTCAAGATATATGCAAATTTTTAGGATTAAGAATAAACTTTCTGAACGAAGTTTTGAATTCCGATTCTTCAGTTCTTTACATCAGCAAAGTGGGATAATCTCTCATAATGTTTGTACTACTCCCAGTAAGTGTAACTGAAATAGTTTCCGCGGCTTTGTGAGAAACTACGCCACTGATGGACGGACAGAAGCGCTGATTGAGTGAGCAATGGGAAACGGGCACACGCTTCAAAAGCTTCAAAGGCCAGAGAGGGTGGAGAGTGGCTCATGGTCGAAGTGGTAGTACCCCTTGGAAACCAACTTAAACAAAAATCTGTACAGCATAAAGATACCCCTGCTACCCTGTGGCAGCTGCAGCTGCAGCGTCAAACAACGTAGTACTCCACAGCGCAGTGATAAGAAAAAGTGACGTTCGGTACTAGGCACCGCGTAGAGTAGGCTTTGGCTTTGGCTTTAGCTTCTAGCTGTAGATTGTTGCACGCTTTTTGATGTAGGCCGCTGCCTCAAGTCAGAGTGCACTTTGGAGAGGCTGTTGCATCGCACTTTGGTGTGGCAGTTGTTGCCTCATGTGGACGCGACGGCGGCGTCTTATCTGGTTGGGCCTTATCGACGACACTTCCTTTGCCGCCGCTCATCTGACCGCACAGGCCCAGCCGGAAGTAATGAGTGCCGTGTCGACTTTTGGCTATCAATTTCACAATTGCAAAGGGTTTATCAGCCACAGAACCAGCATGCAAAGCGCATGAGGGAGAAAGGAACTGAGCGTGGGAGGTGCTCAACCTCTTCTTTTCTTTTTTGTGTTCTGTCAGCCACAAAACACTCTCCACTCAACAATTAAAAATCATTTTTCATCTGCCAGCGCACACACAATTGCTAGTCAACGAATCCTCCAGAGAACAGGAGAGCTGGAAAAAAATGCGAAAAAACAAAGCCACATATCAACAGGCGGGCGGGCGGGCGTTCGGGCGGGCTTTGGCTGGAGCCAGGAGTTGGCCTGTCGGCCAGGGATGTGTGGCATATGCGAGGGTGGTGCAGTGTAGAACTTTGTCATGCCGACAATTTGCTGCCAATATTTTGCCAATTTTTTTCACACCAACAGAGGGGAGGGGGAGTGTCGGCCTGTGCTCTGGTTTGCCTTCAATTATGCAGCAATTGAAAAATTACTACGTGTGCGACAATTTGAGATTCTGATTCGGTTTTTTCGCCTGCCTCTTCGAGGAAAGGGGTTGAATGAGTGTTAGGATGTGGGAAGGGGTGCTGCATGAGTGGCAGGACGACAGACAACAGGTTTTAAATTTGTCACCGCCACAACAACGGAACAACAGGAATGACAAACGCCAAATGAAGCGCAAATTTAATTACGTGAATTTGATTGGATTAACTAGCGAAACCTGAAATCCTGGCTACCTCCTGGCTTTCCATAAAAACAAATTTAAATATGCCGCACACATGTGCTTGCCCCCACTGCCACTGCCTCCTGCCAGGGCTGTCTAGTCGCGTAGGTGAGTCGTAAATTTACGCGCCATTGTTGCCCTGTGGCTCCCATCCTGCTGGTCCTGCTGGTCCTGCCGGCTCTCCGCTTCTGCGTGTGTGTTGACGCCAATGTTGGACACCTCCACCCACCACGGGACGTGGACGTTATCTTCCTTTTTTGGCCTTTTCACTTATGCAAACGGAACATTTGAAAAATATGTTGGCAACACACAGGATAAACAGAACGGCAGCCAAGTGCAGCTGATGCCCCCAGACACAGACACAGACACAGACACAGAAACACAGATGCTGGGGCTTTCCTTTTGCAGAGTGTCTCTGCCTCTGCCTCTCCGCTCTGACATTTTAATGAGCATGCAACGTTGCAACGTGCAACGTGACGGGGTCCGGCTCCGGCACCCAAAAAGCCTTGTTAAATTCATTAGTAAAACGTTGCACCTTCAGCGCAAATGCAGAGAAAGAGAGACTGTGGCAGGGGTAGGCTGTGAAGCACACGTCTGTTGGGCCTGATGTTGCCACACAGCAGCACACACACGAAATTAAAACCTCCCTAGCCCACGGTCGCAACCTGAACAGCCAGCCCCATCCAGTGCTGCCCCAGCAGCATCCGTAGCATCCGTAGCATCCGTAGCATATCGCCCGCCACACACCACGAACCAACAGACAACATGACATGATACCGATACTAAACTGACACTTTGACATGGACTTAACCCTAAAAACGCTTTGTTGGCTTTATTGGTGTCGGTTGCCGTTGCCATTGCCATTGCCTGCCTGCCTGCCTGCCCCCAACAGGGCAGAGGATGGGCAGGGTCATGCTGCGTGTGCTGGGGAGAGGCCATCAGCCCCCCAAAAAGGTATCCACTTGATTTTTGCACTAATTTACGTGGATTAAGCGCTCCTCTCCTCCCCTCTCTCTCGCTGTGTGTGTGTCTCGTGTGACTCGTGGGGTATTAAGCTTAAATACCTTTTAATTGACAATTTGTGTTTGGCTATTTGATGCCTGATTTTTGTTTATTTATTGTGTGTGTGCAGGGCTTGTGTTTCGGATCATTATATTAAATATACAAACAAGTATAGAGTGAGGCAGAGGTAGTTAATTAATTTCTCCTGCTGCTAAACTTTATAACAATTGAAAGTTTTTAATGGAAATGTAAACTTTAAGCGAAAGTTTTTCCTATTTATGCTCTGATCCATCTCCTCCAATTAACCTTTACCTTTGACCACAAGTTTTTCATGGCTGCTGCAGGTGAAGCTGCGCCTCATTTGTATGCCACTAAACTGGGCAAAAGTTTTCCATCTAACAATTGCCTCGAATCAATTCCTGTGCACTTGCCCCTACCCCTACAGCGCTCCACAGCCACAGAGCCACAGAGCCACAGCCTCTGAAAAGCTGAAAAGTCGCTTGTCTCGCCACACAAGTGCAAAGTTTTCTCTTTTACACAGAAAAAATTGCTTAAATCAGCGAGTTTTTTGCGCTATTTCCAGCCGCTCCTGCCACCATTCCGACGGGGAAAAGTTTTAGCCGGGGTCAGTCAGCCGCTTAAGCCGCCGCCGCA